TTCTTAATGTTATGCAAATTCTAATTTCATATGGTTTAAGATTTCTGGATTCAGTTTGTAATTTTACACCATGGGCATCCAATAGAAAGCCCATGTTTACACCCTTCTCACTTTGTCATCTTGGGATAACATCAAGTGCTTTATAACCGATTTATTTCTAAATATATATGTATAAATGAAACTAACCTAAGTCATAAATATAACCACCATCGTCGTTCAAATTCTGGTTGTAAAAAGGCATAGTAAGAACGGTTCCTAGATAAGTCAGCAGCAGCAGTAAAGTCTTCACTAGCATAAATGTTTTTCCACTCATCCTTCCCAGCAACAAAAAGTGCTATTTTCCTGTTCTTGTTATATGATATACTACCTTCAGGTTGAGACACGAAACGCTTTATTGTATGAGATGAATGTATCTAAATTACTTTATATAATATACCATCCGGCGTTGTTCTCTAATATACCTCGTTATGACTTCAATTGATCTGCATATTTGGGAAATTAAATATTAGAATATTCCCTCTGTTGTTCACGTCATGGTCCACGTGCTGTATGAATTGCGTGGTAGTATTGCTTTGGTCATTCTAGCAATTGAGTATCAATAGTGTCATGTTTCTTTACACGAAATTATAATAATCGATAATAGCAATTGGTATCCCATCTCAGCCAATCAGAAATTGTGATTTTAAGGCTGAGAAGAAATGAGATGCCATGATTTAGCATGGGTTTTGTTCACCTGATCAGATTGCGCGACGTAAACTTTTGTATGGATTAGAATGGTCAGATGATAGCATGATGAATGAGATATCATGTCAAATAACATTACAACAATCATACATTTTCCCCTTGCAGCAAGATGCCATGGATGAAATTATATGATAGAGTATTGTCCATGTGTGATGGTACATTGTACGTGCATGCAGCTATTGGAGAGGTTAAGCTAACGATGTTTTTCACAACGTAACCGTGAACGCAAAGTACAAAAATTAACAAAGGAATGTATCGAGCGCTCATAGTTTATGCGCGCTTAGTCTACTTCAGATACTCTTTCAGCTTCAGAGTTTCGGTTTTAGAACGGGAGATTTGAATATTTGACGTTGGGTCAACGGGAACCATTCTACTCGTGTCTATTGAACACTATGGTGTCAATTTTGATTTCGATGCACAGTTGAATTCTTGCTGAACACGATGATGTATGTCATGCATGATTTAGCGCCAAAAATCTTACGAAACGAGCTCGTTTAAAATATGTATTAGAAAACCAGCTATAAAACCGCATCAATGACATACTATAGAATCATTACACGCTATGGTGTAGTCTAAACAAACACTGGATTTGAACGGCTATTTATATGAGAAGGCTACATGAATTTGTATATGGTCGAGTGATACGTACAGGTTCAGTTTCGATTATATATGCAAAGCTTAACCTCTCCATTATCTTTAATTGAACTCCAGATTTCCATAACTTTTAAACAACATTTCCTCCAGATGTTTGGCAAACGGAAGACCCCTTTGAAACCACAATTGTTAACCCCGTGTGGTGATTTTACCTGATTCATCAAAGACATAAGTGTATTTGGATCATATAGCGTTTACAACACTGTCTTACTCTAGAATTACTGTAAAATTGTCTAAATCAGAGGGTAATAATTTTTACTGACCTCTAGGGCTCAGGGAGAAGAATGCTCGCGTTACACGTCGAGATGATACACGTAAAGGCGTAGGAAGTGTTGTAAACTAGTCACATGCTATCAATGGTATTCCAATCAATATTCTTTGATAACTATTAATTAAAGAAATCATACTGTTTATCGGATCTATCAAAACGTAAGCAGTTGGAAGTATCCAATTGAGTTAAATATAACTGATAAAGGCGATATGTCAATAACATCACAAATAAGATTCGATGAAATATTGACGCACTTAATGATCAAAATGTAAGGAATCCGTTCAATGCCTGGCTAATTAGAGACAACAATATTGTTTACTTTCAAAACCATTTACGCAGCCAATTGATTAGTTCACAAGAAAGGTATGATTTCAATCGATAAAGGTTTTAATAACACGTGGGAGTCTATGTCTGATCTCAAAACTGAAAACAAAATTCCACTTGGTGATGATGTCGCACACTGCAAAATGGAGTGAATGATGATTCTTAAATTAGGGAGAAATGAAGTACATGGACGGACATAGCATCAAAACGTACAAACTACTATGTACAGGGTGTCCCAAAACGATTGTATCGAGACAAACATGAAATAACTCTATGAGTGATGAAGGAAAATTCTTGAAATTTGGTCATCTAAAATACATTAAATATTCATAAAGATCTAAAAGGTTCATTAGTTAATCATTTTTGTTTATCAGAAAAGTTTAAATTAGTGCCATCACCATTTTCTATGTTGTACCGAGTCATTTAAAGCATACATCATAAATGTCAAATTTCTCAGTAAGAAATTTACAAAGGAGTGGTATCGATGTGGCGAACTTTTTGAACACGCGTTTCTCTTAAACCAGTCATCAAAACATTCTGAAAATGTTACACATTGACAATTTAATGGTCATCTTTTGGACGGTAATATTATAATTTGAAATATATATAGACACTTCTTTTGTTCTTGGTATTATATGTTCGGATTGAAATGACACATCTATCCGAACCTCATTGGAACAAAACGACATAAACACAATGTGTTTAGGTCTCTCAATATTGTAATTGTACAAAGGAAAGTTTGGTTGATTTAAAAAAAGTATCTTGTTAATGAAATAAAAGGGTTATCTTAATTTTTATCTATTTTTGGGGGGGAGGGGTGTTTTGAGTTTTTGCATACTTTTTGTTAAATCTACCATTATGTCCTTTGTATAACTATAATATTGAGAGGTCTAAGAAGATGTTGGATATGCTATTTTGTTCCAACAAGGTTCGGAAAGAAATTTTATTTCATTCTCAAGAATTGGTAGAAAGGAACAAAAAGTCAATTGCACTAAAAAACAAAAAATGTTAACAAAAAACAGTTATATAAAATATATATAAATAATTTTTGCATTAAATGGTTGCCAATCAGTCAACATTACATAAAGGACTGTATTTTTACAGAATCTTTTGAATAATTGGTTTAAGAGAAAAACATTGTTGAATTCAGTTCACCATATCGATACCTATCTTTTCTATTAATTTTAACTGCTTATTGGAAAATAAATGTTCAGCATGTGAAAAAAGTCAGCTATTTTCAATAAAATCAAAAATAGTTATTCCTGTTTTATTTGGGTACACATTTTTGGTACACCCTGTATCTATGTCAGGAATCAGACAATCCATTTCTGGTGCAAGAGAAACAATTAGTGTAGATTGGATTAAACATGAGTACTGGTATTGCCTTCTCAAGTCTAATCATGAATAATCTGTGATGGAAATCACATGCCATCCTATATGTAATTATGCAATCATCTCACGCTTAATAGTTAACTAATCAGTCACCTCTTGTATAGAAAGCATCCTTTCATTAAATTATGTCCATGCGTGTTTGATATCCACGATGGTACTGATTATGATATTTATATATCAACTAGACAAAGACAATATAGAGGTTCTTATATCTATCTATTTATTTTCATCATGATATTCTTCAACTCGTACAATAAAGAAACTGGAGATATTAGCTCGACACATAATTTCATCTACATTTGAAGATCTATCACAAGTGAGATATTTCACACGTGGTAAGTTTGACCTACTAATAATGACACAGTTCGTATATCTATTACAAGGAATGAAATATTAGACAGGTGATTGGACTTACTTTTAATGATATACCTCGAATATATATTACAAGATTAAAAGAAATGAAATATTAGATACGTGGTTGGACTTGCTTTTAATGACATAGTTCGAAGAATCTATTACAAGTGAGATATCATACACGTGGTTTGAGTTCCTTTTATTAGTTCAAAGATCTATAACAAGAAGTGAAATATTAGACATGTGGTTGGACTTTCTTTTTGACATAGTTCGAAGAATCTATTACAAGTTACAAGTGAGATATCATACACGTGGTTTGAGTTCCTTTTAATAGTTCAAAGATCTATTGCAAGAAGTGTAATATTAGACATGTGGTTGGACTTGCTTTTTGACATAGTTCGAAGAATCTATTACAAGTTACAAGTGAGATATCATACACGTGGTTTGAGTTCCTTTTAATAGTTCAAAGATCTATTGCAAGAAGTGAAATATTAGACACGTGGTTGGACTTGCTTTTAATGACATAGTTCGAAGATCTTTTACAAGTGAGATATACGACATGTGGTTTGACCTTATTTTCATGGTAAAAATTGAAGATATTCGACTCTATAATGGCCTAATTTTCTCAGACATACATGTAGTAAGACGATGCAAGTCACATTACTTGATCAAATTGAGTATGCAGAATGAAGTTTTTCCTTTTCAGTGATATCATATTTCAGGAAAAGTGATCATTTATAAACGATATTATTCGTTAGTAGTAAATAAAATCCATCTGCTAGGTTGTGATACTCATTGTAGATTGAAAATAGATCTCGAAACAAAATTTATTCTTGTTAGTACCTTAGTAAATGTAGTAATAAGCAGATAGTATTTAACAGCAATTAATTACAAATTCGAACATCATAGTAGACCTGTCTGAATTGTTTTCGTGACAGCAGATCTACATCTTCAATTATCGTTATATTTAGTTGTGTAATACTTCCGGTCTAAATGGCTCAATTTATTGAATTATCTTTTGACGTCAATCAACTAACCAATGATTAAACGATATAGATACATTACGCAATCATTAAGCGTGGATGAACATAAGATCAAACACGGTGTTGAACAATCGATTCAAGGATTTTTGAAACAAAGGAATAGCATTCCAGAAGCATGATTAGTCAATGTGAGTTATTTTAAACTCGAGCAAAATGAGATCTAAGATACATGCAAGTTAATCTATGCAGTTTTACAGTTCATTGTAAATGTTCCGCCTTTATCCAGACCCAGAAGCCTTAAACTTGGAGAGGAAGTCTTCGTAATTGCATCTACCATCTTCATCCAAATCGAGATTGTGGACCAGGACGCGCCATTCATCTTCATCTAACCCAGGAAAGTTCTGCTCGATTACACCTATCAGTTCTTCGGGGGAAATTCTCCCATCACCAACAAGGTCTCGGCGTTTCAATTCGGCTCTTATCTGTGCACCTCTTGAATCATAAAAATACATCGCTATTAATTTTAACGCAACTTTATAAAACTAACAGTCAGTGCATGACACTCATGTTGCTTCAGTTTAGATCCCGTGCCCGGGGTTCCATGTTTCTGTGCCCTTAGATATCTCTACTTACGCGTATGCCATGGATGTAGCTACATGTAATAAAATCATAAAAGTGTGTGTATATTAAGAAATTTAACTATATTGAACATATTTCAGCTGAGTATTAGTGTAAGCAATTACGTAAGTATTAGACGATATGAGGTTACGATTAAAGGCAGAATCAGATCTATAGGGGGCGACAAAATTACAAGCAACTACTTGTACAATTGAATGACCAATCTATTCCTTTCAATATTAAATACAATATCTCCAAAAAGATTCACAATATCGTATAAATTGGTGAAGTTATTAATGATTCAAAGTGAAAAAGTGGGTGAAAAATGTTTAAATTCTCCCAAATAATAAAAATGGTAACCATTCTTATAGAAAAATAATATATTATGGTAGAGATTAAAAGGTGGATTGGATCGAGTGGATTGGATTCATGTAAAAGGTGGATTAGATCGGGAATCTTCAAAATATGGAATTTCTTTAAAGATTCCTCTAAAGTATTTTGTGATTACTTTGGTCCCTTTGAGAAATCAGAACAAAGCATACTGTACTTCAATTAGTTGATGGATACTCCTTAGTATTTAACTATTTTCACTTGTAAATCAAGTTTTATTAGACATAGTAAACATAGATCTGTAGATAAAACATTTCTGCTTTGTTCTATTTGGACTGAAAACAGATATGGATCTTCAAACCATTCTGCCCTATGATTTATGAAATGTCTAAATTTGACCTTGGAATGAACAAAATGGTGTATCAGAAAGCAGCTTCACCCTTTTTGCCCACCCAAGCAAAATAATATATATTATTTGACATCGTGGAAGTGAGGACAGCACCAATCTTCTTAGAGGAAAGGAGATCTTTTCTTAAGGGAAATCCATATTTTGAAGATTACCGATCCAATCACCTTTACATGAATCCAATCCACTCGATCCAATCCACCTTTTAATTATTGTAAAAATCTTTAGTTTTCCTGGAATAAACTATGCACTTTTCTGATTTTTAGAAAATAGACATGACAAGGAATTACATGAGCCAAAAATATTCTAAAATTGGAACAATTTTTTGTTTAGCCTGCTCGCTATCTCTGATTCTCTCTTTAATATGCTTGAATATATCTTATTGAGTATTAGGTAAACATACATACGATGCTTGATGCAAAATCTGTTCTTATTTTATGTCATTTTGTAATGATCCCATATTTATATAATATCTTGAATTGTGTCTGTCATAAATATCTAATTATGAATTCATAGCTGGATTGGTGTAGGGAATCTGTTTCAATTTGTAGAATACATGGAGTCCATTCATTTTAATAAGCTCTCAAATCTTCTACTCTATTTTTTTACATACCCATCCTGACACTTTATATCCAAAAGCAGACGACATGGGCGATCTTATAAATTGACAACCCTGCATTCCACACAACAGAAGAAAGCTTTGAATTTGATTTGGAGGAATGACATGGGTCAATATATAATCTCGCATATCTCAAAAGGTACCTATGATCTAAATCTGCCACGGAAGACATGCGTTTTGTAAATTCTTCCTCCGATATCCTCCTTTGTTCTTTGTATTCGGGATCTATTTCTGCATACAGAAGCTGTCAAATACAATAACATTCTACATTCTATGTTGCGATTCTAATTGGATCTACATGCATTCGGTATCTACAAAGGATTTAGTAAACCGTATGCATCTATAAGTCTAATTAAAGGCATATTAACAGTTATTGGAGATATCCTCAATAATATATCTGTAATCAAAGATCAATGAAGCAAGGAATGTGATGAGTAGGTGGACGATAACTATTAGCACTAAAGTTCCTCCTTCATTTAGACCAAATCAAAAATCCACAAGCAAGCAATGTTGATGTATAGATGAGACACCCAGCCATCGAATCTTCCTTCAATTTTCCTAAATGTTAAACAGACAAAGCATAGCGAAACAAAGCAACAAAGTGGTGATGACCCGAATGTGATGCCTGGGGTTCGAATGCCACATTAGATTTTACTGCTATCTGCTCAAGTTTACCTATGGTCTAAACCAGGAGTCTGAGTTAGACGCCTTATAAATTCATCTTCTGAGATCCTCCGAGTCGCTTTATACGTCGAATCTATTGCTGCATAGAAAGTCTGAAAGAGAGTAGTTAGACGTATAAATTGTCTACGTGAAGGAGCATGAGTTCTAGTCCTAGTATGGTGCAGTTGAGCTTATCACCCATTCCTCTAAATCGACTATCATTATTCTCGTTTTTTTAGTCCAACGTGAATTTCGTTTTACTTTTGTATATGCCGGCTTTGTCTTCACAAGTACAAGTCGATTAAAACAAACTATTAAATGGTTTATATTGAACCCTTTACATAGTGTAACACTGAAATATTTTGATCAAAACGATGTATTCACTCATTAAAAAATAAGGCAATATGTGCCAGTACGATGACAAGATTATATTAATGTGATAAAACAACCAAATATCAGGAAACACTCCACCAAATCAACCATACAAAAGGAACCACCTTGATTACAGCTATATCAACTCGAGTATTCATATTTGATATAAAGGATAGGTATCGATATGGTGAACTGAATTTAACAATGTTTTTCTCTTAAACCAATCATTGAAAACATTCTGTAAAAAATGGTATTTTATGTAATGCTGACTGATTAACAACAATTTAATGCGAAAATTATTTAGAAATATTTTATATAACTGTTTTTGTTAAAGTCCCCGTCTAAAGTTTAAAGTTTTATCATTCATTTACTATTTGTCAGGACTTAAAAAGTGATTTTAGAGATTTTTGAACAAAAATTTTTTTTTGAAAAAAAAGTTGTTAGCATTTTATTTATCAAATATTCAAATTTCCCGCCATTTTTCCAAAAAGTTGAAATTTCTTAATCATCAAATATTTCTTAATGCATTTCAAAAAAGATTATATTTTTAACACCAATGCAAAGATTGAACAAAAGACACACTATTTCAATAATAAAATGTCATATTTAATGGGCCACTTCAATGTTTTAGCTTATCAAAAATATTTTGAAACATTAGTGATGTCACTAAGGTAACAAAAACTTTTTGAAAAAAATTGAATTTTTTTTTTCGATGTCAATCTTTTCTAAATGTGCTAGACTTTCATAAAAAACCAATGTTGATTGTCTAACCAGGTTAAAAGGAAGAATAAATTATGTTTTAGATATCATTGTACCATTGGTTTCTATGAGAACTAAAATTTTGAAATGCATTTTTCTCAGAACCATTTTCATGCACTGATAAGATCATTTCTCGCTTGTTTATCAATCGATTTTCTTAATTTTTTCGGCAAAAAACATGGGAGGATGTATGCTATGCATTGGTATGAATTGTGGCTAATTAGAAGATATGAGTGACCTCTAAAAGTTGGTTTTAAATAAATTCACAAATTTTGGAACAAAAAGTCTATCAAAAACCACTTTTTGAAATTGAAAAAACAAGTTTCACATATCACACTTTGATAACATTGGGTAAGACTACAATATAAGCCAAAGTGGTTTAAACTTTACATGGGGCCTTTAACATTTTTTGTTTTTTTAGTGCAATTGATTTTGCTCCTTTCTACCAATTCTTGAGAATGAAATAAAATGTCTTTCCGAACCTTGTTGGAACAAAATAGCATATACGACATGTTTTTAGACCTCTCAATATTATAGTTATACAAAGGAATTTTTGGTTGATTTTAAAAAAGTATTCAAAATATTAAAACAAAATCCACCCCAGAATAGATAAAAATCAAGATAACCCTTTTATTTCATTAACAAGATGCTTTTTTAAAATCAACCTATATTTCCTTTGTACAATTACAATATTGAGAGACCTAAACATGTTGTGTTTATGTCGTTTTGTTCCAATGAGGTTCGGAAAGATGTTTCATTTCACTCTGGAAACATGATACCAAGAACAAATCAAGTGTTTGATATGTTTTCTAAAACAATATAAAGTATATATATACATGTATATTTCAAATTATATTGTTACCATTCAAAAGATGACCATTAAATTGACGATGTATTAAATTTTTAGATTTTTTATGACTGGTTTAAGAGAAACGTGTGTTCAAAAAGTTCACCATATCGATACCACTCCTTTGATGATTCGGTTAGAACTGCGTATGTGAAACACAAATAGTACAAAGATAGCAATAGGTGGAATTACACCTACGATGTAAAAGCGCTTTTTAAAATCCTATCGGGTTTCGACCCGCCTTTAGAGTCAGGTGTAATCACGATCGCGGATTTAGAAAAGCGCTTTTGTAATCCTCCCAGACCCCTAGCCATTAAAAACCGCTTTCACACCCAAAGGCGGTTTAACGTGTAGGTGTAATACCGATTGGTTTTCAAGGCGCTTTAACTCGTAATTTGTAAATAGAATAACCGTAAATTAAATAAATAATATACATGTAATACTATTGACGACGGATATTGATGATTCAGCATCCCGAACAGAAGAAAGTAGCTAATATTTTGAGCACCATAGTATTATGATAATGGCTCTTCTCGATCACTTTGACGCTCAATGGGCCAAAAATCTAAAGTCTTATATTTATACGCCCATGGGCGTATAAAAAATGATAAAATAACGGACGAAATCACCCCTTCTTTCAGTTATACGCCCAGGGCTTATATACGAGAAATTCCGGTACTATTGTAGATTGGGGAAGGCGAGGGGAGGGGATGATTGAATAGTTGAAATTACCTCTCTACAATGAAGTCAAAAAAATGACGAGATCTTTGTCTTGTCCACATCGTTCGTTCCTGTCCCATATTACCAAGGATGCCAAACAGCCCCAACAAAAGTACCATCTTCATTTTACTGGATCTCTCCTAACGACCGAGCTTCTCTCTTTGCGCTCTTGTGCATTGTTTTCCATGCTTTCTTCAGCACATATTTGTTAACGCCAGAGGTAGATTGAATACGATTTAAGAAAAAAAGAAACATACAGTATCGGATTTTGAATCTCCAGAGATGGCGCTACGGCTGAAAGTGTATATCTAAATAGCAGATTTTGATGCAAATGCGATGGTTGATGGCAAATTTTTGTCTTAAATCAGTCTAAAAGCGCTTTAGAAAAATCAAGTGTAATCACGAAAAGTTGTCTTCAAGGCGCTTTTAAAATTCTGGTGTAATCAGGATTGCGGTTTTCTAGCCTACGTTACCCAAAACGCCTTGAAAACGCCTTTAGCCATGAAATAGGTGTAATTCCACTAAATGACGTACTTGTTCAATAACCGTTTGTAAAGCCTTATAATGGATGGTTTGTTTTTGTTGTTTATTATTCTGAGATGTGATTTATCTTCATGGGTTCGATGGGTGCTTATCTCTTTATAAGTTAGACAGGAAGTGAATGATTGAAATAGAGACTCCGATCAATGTAGGAGAAAAATAGATAAGCCTTGAATAAGTTAAAATTGATCATTTGATATATATTTAGAGCACTAATAGATTAGGAAGCATCATGAGTGATACTTGAGTCTTCATTTGTCAATATATACTATCTATAATAGTCATTTGTTTACCTGTTATTTATACAGCATCACTCCCATTGAACTGATACATTAAAATGTTTACAATACCGCGTCGAATCAGTATTCGTTAGAGCTAATTATAAGATATTTCTATTTCAAAGTACTAAACCATTTTAATTTTTGATAATTTGGCGCGAGCTCTTAACTAAACTAAAACAAGTTATAATACATTGTTGTAGAAATGCTGATATGCTATAATTTATGGTCTCATTTTATAGATATGGCCACTAAATTATGTTCATCGCTCAGAAGACCATTCTGTCGTCAATGCATATATTCTTCGTGTATCATATTATATTTAGAATGTAAAAAGCAGAAAATGGTAATACAGAGAAAGAAATGTATTAATTGATTAGCGAAATAAGATGCGGGATTACAGTTAGCAGAAACACTGTACTGAGTAAATAAATCTGTAATGTTGATCCATCATCTATGGTGTAAAATTGTCGGGGTTAATGAACAGATGTAAAGGCATATCCGATAACACCTGACTAAAGAACCATTGTTTCTATACAAAATAAGTAGATATACTAGATATCGAGGGGGACGTTGAATGTGCCTTAGGTCTACTATCAATGTCATATAATAGTATTGTTTTTATTGCATTATATGATACAGCGGACAGAAGCATTCAATGTTCATGTATTTTTCTCACTAAGGCAAATTTTAAAGGAAATAAACCGCAGGTGTATCTGTCATATACCGCAAGTGAATATGCCATATTCGTTGCGGAATATGACATATATTTGTGTCGTGTTTACCGCGTAACACTAATGAGGAGAATAAGATGGTGAAAATAAAACGAATTCTGATCGGTTAAACTGTCCGAACTAGATTAAAACATAACCTTTTTCATTTTGGTTCGAAAATAAGGCATGAATCGTAGAAGGAACTATGTTTGAAACAGTTAAATATTAAGTAATTTTGCCTCATGTTCAAAATGTATGAACTATTTTTGACGAGGAATATTTAAGTAGTTTAGTCTCATGTTCAAAACGTATTGAACAAATGCCAAAAACTGTTTGTAAAATAATTATATCTATGCTTTATACCATTTTATTTGAACAATTCTAAACCAAGCTAGATAAAATTAATCAGGAACTTGATGTAGCATCATTCATTTTCCATGATTTTAAGTTATTTTAGAAATTTTTGAAAATAATATTTTGAAAAGAAAATGTCAGTTTATTATTTCTGAAACATTATCTTTTTAACACCAATGTAAGGATTGAATAATCCCTTCCGTTTCAACAATATAATGTAAATCAATTTAATGTATTATGTAAAACATAAGCGAATAAAATATTCTTAATAAAAATTAAAGATTGAACGAAGGACACACTATTTCAATAATAAAATGTAATGTGCAACTTTCACGTTTTAGCATATTAAGAATATTTTACTATTTTGCAACATAAGTGACATCATCGCGACATCACTCAGGTGGCAAAACCCTTTGAAATTGTTTTTACAAAATCTATGTCAATCTTTTCTAAATATGCTAAACATCAACAGTAGACAAATGCTGATTGTCTAACCAGGTTGAAAGGAAGAATTATGTTTCAATAGTATCGTACCATTGGTATAAACCAGATATAGAAAGAATTATTTTTACTCAAACTTTTTGGCACTTGTTCAAAAATAAATGAATTTTGACCAAAGTTCAAAATGTATGAACTATTTTTGGCAAGGAATATTTAAGTTTTTTGGCTCGTGTTCAAAAACAAATCAACCACTTCATAAGCTTTGCATGTACCACAGATGAATTAAATGAATTAGTTATAAACGATATGATCTAAAAATGAATAATTGACTTTTATAACGGCATGGTAGTTTTTTCTAAAAAAGCAATTAACGATTGCAAATCCATAACACACTCAGTTTGAAATAACAGCAGAGAATCCCAAATATAAATCCAGAAATTTATTTGATATGCCTGATCAAATACGGAAATATATAGAATCACGATTGCTGAAAGGGGAAAGCAATTACACTACGCGATAAGAAAAAGATAGCACAACCGGCCATAATGAAAATATTAGTAAAACCCCAATATCCTAAATATAGAATCTAACACACAACGAAAACTATGAAAATCTTATGCAACTTGGAAGTTGTTCAAGATTAACATGCAGATATATCCAAATTTAATTAAACTGAAAAGTGACGTTCACTTTTCAGCATGATAGAGAAAATGTACACACAGAGGGCAACTTGTCGTTCCATTGTTTTAAGTTGATTAATCGTTGCTCGAACGATGCATCACGTTGTCGCGTATTTCTAAATGACATGAAGGGGATTGGACATCAGAAAAAACACACACATCGTCAAAAGCTCCTCAATATATATTTCTAACATTTTCGATGCTCGATATAACCTTAGTTGACAAAACAGTGGCCTCGAAGATAAGATATAAGAGCAGAATCGAAACAAAACACAAACTGCAAATCAACTTGAACAGATAATATCACTCATAAACACATAGATAGATATATACATCGATTCGTATACGAGCCTTATGTTACAATTGTTATACTTATTCAATCGGTAACATTTTGTCATGCTCATGCCTCTTTTTATTTGGCAATCATTCTCACATATTTTCAAAGACACATTTCAAGGACAAAAATGATATCCACTTTTTATTACATAATTACGTGTAGGATATGAAAAAATCAAAAATATAATCTCAGATAATACGAATATTGTAAAATAACACTGTTACTTGACTGACTTTTAAAACATATCTTATAAATATGCTACATATTATATAGGTTTTATATAAATCAGGTGACAACATGAAAAGTAACAGGATCAGAAGGTGTTGGTGGGAGCGGATTCAACTTACCCTCCAATCCTCGTCGGTGTAGCCATTCTCCAGGAGTTCCGCCCTCAATTGCAGCAGATCAATGGTCGTCTCTGTCTCATCCGTCTGCATCTTCTTGTACCATTCGATATAATCATCTGGGGGTTGTCCGAGCGGCATGTTGAAATGGGTATTGAAGTCTCCGAGAAACTAAATGAGAGAGATGTCTCTTTGTCAGCGTTCAGTTTGTGATTGAGGACGCGGTTCTGATATATTTTGAGGCGTCGGCTTACTCAAAGGTCGTTTTTATGGTAAAATATTAATTATTTAATGTGGTAGTTATGATTTTTGGACCCTTATCAGCGTCTAGCCACTCGAAGTAGTTCCTATTTTAATAAATGAGATGATATGTTTACATTAGCATTGATGGTTTGACTTCGTGGTAGCATTAATATAGTACAGCATGATGCCCTGTCCCAGAAAACTTGGTCAGTTAGGAAATTATAATTGGCCTGTTTCATTGAATTAAGCCAAGTCATCTTTTGGGCGTTTGCTTTTTGGGACTGCATGATAAATATAAGTTACCTCGTTTTCAAATGAAGGAGCGGTTGCTGATAAGAATAATAAATATATCACCCGATTTCGTTGAAAATATCTCAGAAAGGGAATTTTATAATTTAAAACATTTGAATTTGAATTTAAATCATGACTTGAAGGAAGTACTTCAAAATTGTTTTCGCGCTCCTCGTTAAATCACGTAATCACGTAACACTTCAGGCCACATTGCCTGATATCAATGACTTTCCTCTTTACTGTTTACTATTATCACTTTGTTTACCTGGTACAATTGCAATTTTTTCGCGAACAACGACCTGAACATTAGCTTGACTAATTTCCTTATCAATGACTGAAGCATTAGCCTAGCTCATATGTATTTTCTTTTTTCGTTAGCAATGACTTGAACGTTTAGCCTGACAAAATGCATTTTTTCGTAGCCTGATATAAATGCATCTCTTTTTCTTAAACACCGGCTTGAACATTAACAAGACACAAATGAATTTCTTAAACATTAGCGTGGCAACAATGAACACATATATATGGTTGATTTTTCCCATATATCATGTAATGTCCAATTTTGATACAAAATAAATTCCATAAACACAAGGCATCACAAGTAATTGGCCGGGTACTGGCATTTCCCTCAACTCGTGACATGAAAATACTAAGGTACAGTGTAGAAAAGTTGCAATTGGTTTAATCAACTTATCATCAATTGATGAAACATACAATTAGCCACCTCTGTACCTTGTACAACTAGGGATATTCTCTATTTAACAGATCAAATTCATGCAGTTGACGATTCTAGCTTTCCAATGGAGTATTGCACCTGGGGCGATATTTCAATATTTCCTCCATGATAGCCTTGCCCAAGTCAATACTATCTTTTGTTTATCTTGATTTTCAATTTAATACAATTAAATAAACTTTAAAAAAATAAAAAGACACCGACTTGGGCAAGGCTAACTCCATACCTGCATGATTTGATTTCTGTCATTCAATGAAATGTTGAAAAATATATTTTCGTTATCAATTGAAATTGTAATTTTGAAAATCAATCGAAAATTCTCATCACGTGATTGACATAAATTCAATATTTCACATTAGAGACAGTAAAATCTATAAAAATATAAGTTGACGATTATTCAGTTACAAAATGATTACGACCCTAATCAGTAGGCCTAATCACCGTTACAAAATAGTTACCGTGTACCTGATAATTGTTTTCTAAAACATAGCCATATTTGTTTTCATTATGGTACCCTCTTAATTGATTGTCATTTGATTACTGATGTAGAATAATCAACAATTATGTAATTAGTAAAAGTAGCGTGTATCGATATGGTGTCATTGATTGCAATTTCTTGCATCAGCCGTGTCAGTAGGTGTCACAATTTTATACATCAGATAAAGTTCCCTATTATCCAAGTGTACATTTTATGTGCGTAATGATCATTTTTCCATGAACATCATCTGGTCCATTATTTCTCTAAGGAATCATTTTCTTGTTTTCTAAACCTGTTCGTATCAATATTGGACTAATTAAACATATTATTGTATTGAAAATGTTTTGAACACCAATTACCCAGATGCGAGAAGGTAGTTACCATTCTCACCACCACGTGGCTGATTCGGGGAAGTTAACATGGCAGGGTATTAGAAAGTTCCCTTAAGAATATTCATCAGTTTCAGTGGTTCAGTTTTCATATTTCCATCATGTATCTGATACAAATTAAAATATCTCCACTAAAAGAAATTATCGTATGATCTTGAAGCCGAGGTGTACTAATCTGTATTGCTACTGAGATTGCCCCAATTGATCATCTTCTTAGCAATACATGTACAGAGAATATAGAATATTCCCTAGGGAGTAATCTCCTAAGCAATATGTATTAACCTTGCAAAGATCACACGATAAAAACGTTAGAATGATTTGAAGGCGCAATACAGGTTATATTGTGCTCTCGATATTCTGTATTGGCACTTGACTTCGTCTCGTACCAATAAAGAACTTCTCGAGCAGAATATATCCTGTATATTGTACTTCAAATCATTCAATAACTTATAATATTATAAAGAGAAGACATTTCACTTTTTGTGATTTTATAGAATAAGGTCTGTATATGGAGAATCTCCCCGACCTATTCAAAAAAATTAAATTTTCAAAGTTGATAAACACTCTTTAAAGCCACATTTGTTATTGTAGTTGTACTTTTACATGTAGATTTCAAATATGAAATAGAACAAAATAAAGCTGGGTATACGTAAAAGAAACTGCAATTTCCCAGAGGTAATGAAGATATTTTCTTGTGTTTACTTATTTACATGTCACTTATTAATACGAAACAATATTAATTGGTACGGAATCTAAGCGCAGGACGCATAAACGAGTACATTAAACAATCAGTCACAAGACAAACAAATTTCTTTTCCCACATAGCAAAACATTTTCACAATATTGTTAAAAGATTTAACTTGAACCATATGCAAAGGCCGATAGGAATATTTTTTAAATAAAGATGGCATGGTAATCGATCTGTGTTTATTTATAAATATTCTTCTGTTGGTGCTGCCATCTTTATATCGGCCCAGAACCTATGACTTGAACCTATGTCTCGTTTCCAGACTTTGAATAAGTGCGGTAGCACAAATCCATAGAAAACAAAACTTGAATGGATTGAATCATACACAAATCATTGAGTGTATAGATGGCGATATATTCAGAGCGTTTTTTAAATATACACTGTATGCTTTAACATCTAAAATTGCTTCAAAAAACTCTCCCAACTCATGAATTACAATGAACTTTGATTTTACAAACCTTATTGAAACTTCATGAAAATGTGAGTAAACGAAAATATGATATTGATTTGATTTATGTTGTGTTTTAATTCAATAATATTTCCGGGGTAATGTTTGCACACACTGGGTGTGAAGAACAGCCCACTTTATGAAAAAAGGTAAACTGAGGCCTGGCTCTCGTTGTACGTGTGTGAAAGCCCAAATGTCCTGGGCTACTCGCAAGTGTTCGGACTATTGCCCAAGTATTCTGACGCAACCGAAGTTGGCCGAGGGTACCACGAATGTCAGTGAAGAGGACGTCTCTAATTGGTCAAAAAGAGAGGCTCGGCATTCTCCGTCAGATTGAATCGGCAGACGAAGGTAAGCCATACAACCGAATTTTACCGATTCAATCTGACGGAACTGAATGCCGAGCCTCTCTTGTTGACCAATTACGGCAATATCCGGCTTTTCTTGAAGTATTGCAAGTGAAAAATCTCCCCCCCCCCTCCCCTGGAAAAAAGCTCCCCCTCCTGGTAAAAGCTGGCTACGGGCAAGTGCTACCGTAAGCTACGTGTTATCGCATCCTACGACCCCCTTAGAGCCCTTAGAATCTAAAGGGGTCGTAGGATGCGATACGGCTACGTGTGCAGACCTGTGACTGCGTTTGTCAAGAATAAATTTGGGGTGGCTCACATAAAAGCTCTTCAAAAAGAGGTAAGAAATTATTATTGATTCCTGCGTTCACATTTTGCATAGTAATGACAGATTGGAAGCAATTAGTGATGAGTCTGCTATAACCAGGTTATTGGTGAGTATCCTCTTCACATATTTTAGCTTACAATTGCATATATAACATCAAGAAAACGAAAATAATTCACATATTCTCCAGACAAAATGTAGAAAATCAGACACGGGAACTCAGTCAAGAGTTCATCCCTCTCCCATTCTAGGCCTACTAGAATATTTTTCATGGCCTGACTTCGTCGCTAACATGCTAAATATAAGAGTTAGCTGATGTTTGGGAGTCTTACTTACCTTCTAAAGGTTAGAACCCGAATCTGAATGAAACCATATCACCTTTGTTCGAGACACACTCAAATGCAGGTTTTTTTCTGGCAAAACCGTGGCAATGTTAGCGAAAACTGCAGGAATCTGCCGCAACCGTGGAACGTTATATATTAACATAATTAACATTGTCCCGGTTGTACCAGACATTGTTATATTGTTATACATTGTCCCGGTTCTACCAGACATTGTTACACTGTTATACATTGTCCCGGTTGTACCAGACATTGTTACACTGTTAAAAATTGTCCCGGTTGTACCAGACATTGTTATATTGTTATATATTGTCCTAGTTCTACCAGACATTGTTACACTGTTATACATTGTCCCGGTTGTACCAGACATTGTTATATTGTTATATATTGTCCTAGTTCTACCAGACATTGTTACACTGTTATACATTGTCCCGGTTGTACCAGACATTGTTACACTGTTATACATTGTCACGGTTCTACAAGACATTGTTACACTGTTATACATTGTCACGGTTGTACCAGACATTGTTACACTGTTATACATTGTCACGGTTGTACCAGACATTGTTACACTGTTATACATTGTCCCGGTTCTACCAGACATTGTTACACTGTTATACATTGTCCCGGTTGTACCAGACATTGTTACACTGTTGTACATTGTCACGGTTCTACCAGACATTGTTACACTGTTAAACATTGTCACGGTTGTACCAGACATTGTTACACTGTTATACATTGTCACGGTTGTACCAGACATTGTTACACTGTTATACATTGTCACGGTTCTACCAGACATTGTTACACTGTTATACATTGTCACGGTTGTACCAGACATTGTTACACTGTTATACATTGTCACGGTTGTACCAGACATTGTTACACTGTTATACATTGTCACGGTTGTACCAGACATTGTTACACTGCTATACATTGTCCCGGTTGTACCAGAGATTGTTACACTGTTATACATTGTCACGGTTGTACCAGACATTGTTACACTGTTATACATTGTCACGGTTGTACCAGACATTGTTACACTGTTATACATTGTCACGGTTTTACCAGACATTGTTACACTGTTATACATTGTCACGGTTGTACCAGACATTGTTACACTGTTATACATTGTCCCGGTTGTACCAGACATTGTTACACTGTTATACATTGTCACGGTTCTACCAGACATTGTTACACTGTTATACATTGTCACGGTTGTACCAGACATTGTTACACTGTTATACATTGTCCCGGTTCTACCAGACATTGTTACACTGTTATACATTGTCCCGGTTGTACCAGACATTGTTACACTGTTATACATTGTCCCGGTTGTACCAGACATTGTTACACTGTTATACATTGTCCCGGTTCTACCAGACATTGTTACACTGTTATACATTGTCCCGGTTGTACCAGACATTGTTACACTGTTATACATTGTCCCGGTTGTACCAGACATTGTTACACTGTTATACATTGTCACGGTTGTACCAGACATTGTTACACTGTTATACATTGTCACGGTTGTACCAGACATTGTTACACTGTTATACATTGTCCCGGTTGTACCAGACATTGTTATATTGTTATATATTGTCCCGGTTCTACCAGACATTGTTACACTGTTATACATTGTCCCGGTTGTACCAGACATTGTTACACTGTTATACATTGTCCCGGTTGTACCAGACATTGTTACACTGTTATACATTGTCCCGATTGTACCAGACATTGTTACACTGTTATACATTGTCACGGTTGTACCAGACATTGTTACACTGTTATACATTGTCACGGTTGTACCAGACATTGTTACACTGTTATATATTGTCCCGGTTGTACCAGACATTGTTATATTGTTATTATTATATATTGTCCCGGTTCTACCAGACATTGTTACATTGTTATATATTGTCCCGGTTGTACCAGACATTGTTACATTGTTATATATTGTTGCGGTTCTACCAGACATTGTAACATTGTTATATGTTGTATCTGTTGTTACAAAATGTGTTACATTTTTATCGTTTTCACGGTTGTACCAGACATAGTTTGATTATTAAAAATTGTAAGTGTTGTTCCAAAATGTGTTACAGTTTTTTTTCATTGACACGATCGTACCAGACAATGATATATTATTGAACATGGTATCTGTTGTTACAGTTTTAATCACTGTCACGGTTGTGCCAGACAATGATATATTATTGAACATCTTATCTGTTGTAATAAAATGTGTTCAGTTTTTATCCTTGTCATGTTTGTAACAGACATTGTTGCATTCGTTTACATTTTATATATTGTTAAAAACGTGCTACATTTTTAATACTGTCACGGTTGTACCAGACATTGTTACATTCTTGAACAGGGTATTAATTTTTAAAACGTGTTACATTTTTATTATTGCCACGGTTGTACCATACATACTTGCATTATTAAATATTATATCTGTTGTTACAAAATGTGTTACAGTTTTTATCATTGACACGATTGTACCAGCAGACAATGCAAATACTGTTGCGGTTCCACCATACATTGTTACATTGTTATATATTGTATCTGTTGTTACAAAATGTGTTACATTTTTATCGTTGTCACGGTTGTACCAGACATAGTTTGATTATTAAAAATTGTAAGTGTTGTTACAAAATGTGTTACAGTTTTTATCATTGACACAATTGTACCAGACAACGATAAATTATTGAACATGATATCTGTTGTTACAAAATCTGTTACAGCTTTAATCACTGTCACTGTTGTACCAGACAATGATATATTATTGAACATCTTATCTTTTGTAACAAAATGTGTTCAGTTTTTATCCTTGCCACGTTTGTAACAGACATTGTTGCATTAGTTTACATTTTATATATTGTTAAAAAGTGTTATATTTTTAATACTGTCACGGTTGTACCAGACATTGTTAAAATACCTTTCAGGACGATAGACTCCTTTTGGCACCATTATTTTTATTTATATACATCAATGAAATGACAATATCTCCAGTTCTATTCAGTGAAATCCAAGGTATAGGTCCCAGGGCATAGGTATTTTGCAGTTTTCCCCTAAAAAAACACTCTTACTTATCCGTCACTGGGGACAACATTTTCCTCTTATATTCACGTCGGACAGGGTATTAATTTTTAAAACGTGTTACATTTTTATTATTGCCACGGTTGTACCAGACATACTTGCATTATTAAATATTATACCTGTTGTTACAAAATGTGTTACAGTTTTTATCATTGACACGATTGTACCAGCAGACAATGCAAATACTGTTGCGGTTCCACCATACATTGTTACATTGTTATATATTGTATCTGTTGTTACAAAATGTGTTACATTTTTATCGTTGTCACGGTTGTACCAGACATAGTTTGATTATTAAAAATTGTAAGTGTTGTTACAAAATGTGCTACAGTTTTTATTATTGACACGATTGTACCAGCAGACAATGCGAATACTGTTGCGGTTCCACCATACATTGTTACATTGTTATATATTGTATCTGTTGTTACAAAATGTGTTACATTTTTATCGTTGTCACGGTTGTACCAGACAAAGTTTGATTATTAAAAATTGTAAGTGTTGTTACAAAATGTGTTACAGTTTTTATCATTGACATGATTGTACCAGACAACGATATATTATTGAACATGGTATCTGTTGTTACAAAATCTGTTATACAGTTTTAATCACTGTCACGGTTGTACCAGACAATGATATATTATTGAACATCTTATATGTTGTAACAAAATGTGTGCAGTTTTTATCCTTGTCACGTTTGTAACAGACATTGTTGCATTCGTTTACATTTTATATATTGTTAAAAACGTGTTACATTTTTTAATACTGTCACGGTTGTACCAGACATTGTTACATTCTTGAACAGGGTATTAATTTTTTAAAACGTGTTACATTTTTATTATTGCCACGGTTGTACCAGCCATTCTTGCATTATTAAATATTGTATCTGTTGTTACAAATTTTTTTATCATTGTCACGATTGTACCAGACATAGTTTGACTATTAAATATTGTAAGTGTTATTACAAAATGTGTTACAGTTTTTATCATTGACACGATTGTACCAGACAATGATATATTATTGAACATAATATCTGTTGTTACAAAATCTGTTACAGTTTTTATCCTTGTCACGGTTGTAACAGACATTGTTGCATTCGTGTACATTGTATATATTGTTAAAAAACGTATTACAGTTTTTAATTATGTCACGGTTGTACCAGACATTGTTACATTCTTGAACAGGGTATTCATTTTTTAAAACGTGTTACATTTTTATTATTGCCACGGTTGTACCAGCCATTCTTGCATTATTAAATATTGAATCTGTTCTTACAAAATGTTTACAGTTTTACCATTGTCACTATTGTACCACACAAGAATATATTATTGAACCTGGTATCTGTTGTTACAAAATATGTTACAGTTTTTATCATTGTCACGTTTGTACCAGACATTGTTCCATTCGTGTACATTGTATATATTGTTAACAAAGTGTTACCGTTTTTAATACTGTCACGGTTGTGCCAGACATTGTTACAATTCTGTAAAATAATAGGCCTATGACACTTTAATAAATTATCTAAACTAAACTAAACTAAACTACATTCTTGAACAGGGTATATGTTTTTAAAACGTGTTACATCTTTTATTATTGTCACGGTTGTACCAGACATTGTTACATTCTTGAAAAGTGTATCTATAGTTTCAAAACGTGTTACAGTTTTAACAC